AAGAGGGCTCTTGGTGTTGGAGGTTGGAGTTTTAGGGGGGCCTCAGAAGTTGGGGAGGCTCTGGGGGGCTTTTGGGTATGGGGGACCCAAGGCTTGGAGGTGGGTTCTTGGGATTTGGGGTGGGCTGTGAGGTTGGGCAGCTCTGGGGGTTGGGGTGCAGAAGGGCAGCAGATGCCTCCCGTGCTCCCATTGCTGCAGGGAGGTGTGTGTGTGGGGGGGTGTCTGTTCCATCCCCTGAGCATCCCCCCACCCCGGGCAGGTTCTCCACAGATGAGGGGCAGTGCTGGTACCGCTACACCTTCACCAAAGAGCCCATCTTCTTCACCGGGTTGGCATCAGAGCCTGGCGCCCGCTCCATGAATGTCAGCATTTGGGGTTTCCGCAGCAGCTTCCTGTCCCGAAAGTGGGTGTCCTACACCATTGACTTCAGCCAACTGCTCAGCCGCAGCTGTGAGTGAGGGGGGAACCCCCCCACCGTGGTGCCACGTCTGGGGCTGGGGTTGTTGGGATGGGAGATAATGAGGGGGGAAGTAGGGGGAAGGGTGGGGATGGGGGTGGGGAGAAATGGGGATGGATGTGGGGTGGGATGGGGGGGAAATGGGGATGGAAGTGTGTGGGGGAATAGGGATGGAGATAGGGATGAGAATAGGGATGGAGATAGGGATGGGAATAGGGATGAGAAATAGGGGAGAATAGGGATGGAGATGGGGATAGAGGGGGGAGTAGGCATGGGAATAGGAATGGAGATGAGGGAAATGGAGGGGAAATAGGGATGGAAGTGGGGGAGGAATAGGGATAGATAGAGGGGGGAATGGGGATGGAAATGGGGGTTGATGTTGGGGGGAATGGGGATAGGTATGGGAGGGGAATGGGAGTGCAGGTCAGGGATGGGAAAATAGGGCTGGAAATGTGCAGGGATATAGGGCTGGGGAGGGAGAATAGGGATGGAGATAGGGATCGATGGAGGGGGGAGCAGGGATGGGTGTAGGGATGGAGATGAGGGGGATGGAGAGGGGGTTAGGAATGGAAATAGGGGTGAGGGGGAAAGGGGTGGGTATGAGGGGGTGTGGAGATGGAAATGGAGGGGAAAAGGGATGGAGATAGGGATCGATAAAGGGGGGGAAGTGGGAACGGGTTTGGGGCAGGATGGGGACGGAGATAAGGATGGATAGAGGGGGAGGAGAGGCATGGGGGACGGGGAGGAGTAGGGATGGCAACGGGGGGGGAAATAGGGATGGAAACGGGAGGGGGGTGATGAGGGACCCCCTGACCCCGTGCCTGCAGGTGAGGACGAGGACTACACCATCTGGCTGGCGCACTCCAGCGACCCCCGCGACCCCACGGACGGCTGCATCCTGGGCTACAAGGAGCAATTCCGGCGGCTGCGCAAATCCTCCGTCTGCCAGAACGGCCGCGATTACGCCGTCACCGCGCAGCCCTCCGTCTGCCCCTGCACCCTGCACGACTTCCTCTGGTACCACAGCCACCCCACAGCCACCCCAGTGCCGTCGTGTGTCCCAGTGTCACCTCGTCCCTGCACCCTTCATCCCAGTGTCACCGCTGTGCCACCCCGTCCCCGTGCGTCATCACAGTGCCACCCTGTCCCTGCACACCTGATTCCTGTGCCACCCCAGTGCCACCCTGTCCCTGCACACCTGATCCCACTGGCATCCCAGTGCCACCCCATCCCTGCACACCTGATCCCAGTGCCATCCCAGTGCCACCCTGTCCCTGCACAGCTGATCCCACTGGCATCCCAGTGCCACCCTGTCCCTGCACAGCTGATCCCAGTGCCATCCCAGTGCCACCCCATCCCTGCACACCTCACCTCAGTGCCATCCCAGTGCCACCCTGTCCCTGCACAGCTGATCCCACTGGCATCCCGGTGCCACCCCGTCCCTGTGCACGACCCAAGTGCAATCCCAGTGTTGTCTCATTGCCACCATGTCCCTCTGCATGATCCCAGTGCCACCATATCCCTGACACCTCATCCCAGTGCCACTGTGTCCCACCTCATCCTAGTGCTATGTCCCTGCATGTGATCCCAGTGCCACCATGTCCCTGCCCACCTCATCCCAATGCCATCCCAGTGCCCTCATGTCATTGTCCCTGATCTCAGTGCCACCTCAGTGCTGCCACGTCCCTGTCCCTCTCGTCCCAGTGTCCCCACTGTGCCACCACATCCCTGTGCATCATCCCAGTGCCACCCCATCCCTGCACACCTCACCTCAGTGCCATCCCAGTGCCACCATGTCCCTGCACGTGATCCCAGTGCCACCCCAGTGCCACCGTATCCCTGTGTGTGATCCCAGTGCCATCCCAGTGCCACTGTGTCCCACCTCATTCCAGTGCTACGTCCCTGCACACGATCCCAGTGCCACCTCAGTGCTGCCACGTCCCTGTCCCTCTCATCCCAGTGCCCCCACTGTGCCACCACATCCCCGTGCATCATCCCAGTGCCACCACATCCCTGCACACCTCACCTCGGTGCCATCCCAGTGCCACCATGTCCCTGTGTGTGATCCCAGTGCCACCACATCCCTGCCCACCTCATCCCAGTGCCACTGTGTCCCACCTCATCCCAGTGCTATGTCCCTGCATGTGATCCCAGTGCCACCCCAGTGCCACCGTATCCCTGCCCGCTTTATCCTTTCGGCCCCACTCTTGATGGGGTCGCACCATGGGGGGCTGAATCCTCTCCCCCCCCGCAGTGATTTCGGGTATTACCGCCCTGAGAACCAGTCTGTGTGCGTGGAGCAGCCCGAGCTGAAGGGCCACGACTTGGAGTTCTGCCTCTACGGCCGCCGCGAGCTGCTGCGCACCAGCGGGTACATCCCCAATCCTACACCTCCCACAGGGCACGGGGGGGATAGGGGGCGCTGGGAGGGATCCTGGGGCTCACAGAGCATCTCCTCCTTTCCCCTATTTTATTTTAGGTACCGCAAGATTCCTGGGGACAAATGCAGGGGAGGGGAGAGCCCCAGCAGGGAGGAGACGGACATGAAGAAGAAGTGCACCAGCACTCTGCTGAGCCCCGGGCAGCTGGTGGGTCACCCCCAACCCCAAAATGGGTTTGGGGTGTGCTGACCTTGTGGGGTGACCACATGATGTCCCTACAGGCGGCGTCCCCCAGCCCCACACCCATCGTGCTGGCCGTGGTGGCCGTGCTGCTCGTTAGTGCTGTGGCCGGCGTGCTGCTCGTCAAGAAATACGTCTGCGGTGGGAGGTGGGTCCCAGCTGGGAGCTTTGTCTCTTTGGGGTCCCCGTGACTCTGTGGGCTCCCTGGGGGTTTGTAGGATCCCCGTGGCTTGGGGGACCCCCATGGTTTTGTGGGACCCCCATGGTTTTGTGGGACCCCCATGGTTTTGTGGGACCCCCGTGGTTGGAGAGTCCTCGTGGTTCCCATGGAACCTTGTGATGGCTTTGGGGTCACCATCGTCCCTATGACTGGGAGGGCCTTGTGGTTCCCATGGGGTCCCCATGGCTTTGAAGGGTCTGTATGATGTGGGGACTCCCCATGGCTCTGTGGTCCCTAGAGCTTTGTGGGGTTCCTCTGGCTCTATATGATTCCCATGGCATCGGGGTCCCTATGGCTGGGGATTTCTGTGGTCCCCATGGGGTCTCTGTGACTTTATGGGCTTCCCCGTGGTTTTTTTGGGGTTCCTCTGACTCAGAGGTCTTCACAACTTTATGGAGTCCCCATGGGTTCCCTGTGGTTTTGTGGAGTCCCCACGGCTGGGAGGGATCCTTGCGATTCCGTGGGGTCTCCATAACTTTATGGGGTCCCTGTGGTCTCCTGGGGGTCCCCATGGCTTTGGGATTCCCATGGCTTGGGTGTCCCCATGGGCTGGTTGATTCCCCACCACCTGGGCTCCCCATGGCTGGGGAGGGAGGGGTTCCCATATTCTTCCCTTGGCTGCCAGTCTCACAATCACTATGGGACCCCCATGACATTATGGGCTCCTGGCAGTGCCTGGAAGCTCTGCGTGGCTTTGTGGGGTCCCCACATTTCTTAACCCCCCCCCAGGTTCCTGGTCCATCGTTACTCCGTGCTGCGGCAGCACGCCGAGGCCAGCGGTGCCGAGGGGCCAGAGACAGCAGACCCCCCCTCACCACCCTACAAGGGGGGGTACCACGACGACTCGGATGAGGTGAGCCCCCCCCCTGTCTTCCAAACCATAAAGACCCCCCCCCTGGGTTGGGATCCCCACAGTGATGCTCCCCTCTTCCCCCAGGACCTGCTGGAGTAGCGGCGGCGCTGGGACGGCACAGTGGGGCAGGCAGGGCTGAGGGGGGGGCTGTGCTGGGGGGGGGCTGTGCTGGGGGGGGGGGCACACAGCAGCA